GATTCCCTTAGGATTTCAAGTTCACAGAGGATCACTGCTCAGAAGTTAGGAAAACCTACAGGTAAGATTGGGTATGTGTTTTACTTATCCTTTTAGATTACTTAAGACTGAAATGATCTGATATTTCCAAGGGAGGGGTGGGCCCAGGGTCATCTAAGTGGCTGGATATTTTCAGCATTTGGTTGAGCAGCTGGGTTTAGCTGGGCAGCCTGGCTCAGCTGTTTCAGTAACTGCCTGAGACAGGTACTTAGTAAGCAGGAACATAGTTCTTCTGGAACTAAATGGTAGAGGGTCATAAGGAAAACAATGAGGCAAGTAAAACATATTTATTTACTTTTAACTACAAAAGTAAAACAGCCACATGATAACAAAGCAAAATCAAGTACAACAGACATATAAAAGCAAATTCTGAGCTGGAGGAATGGCTCAAGTGGTAGATAGAGCACCTGCCTAACAAGCACAAGGCCCAGAATCCAAGCACCAGTACCACCAAGAAAAAATTTTTTTAAGTGAAATTCTTGTGCGTACTCAATTTCATTCTCTCCATGGAACCACTGTTAATAATTTGGGATGTATTCGGTTTGTTTGGGGCTTTTTAGGTAATATATGATACATATGATGATATTTTGAAGTATTGTGTATTCCATTCTAAACTGAGGTTTTGTCATGCCTTGTTTGTAGATTTGGAGCACATGAAGGTTGGGGGACATTGTTTTAACCTAGTCTGTGAGTTTTCTTAGTCCTTGGCTGCTGTATGGTCATCCATCTTTACCTGAAGTTTCCCAGTAGCACCACTGTCTTTTCTTCCCTTGCTCCCCATTCCCAGAGCAGCTCCCCTCCCCAAGTTCTCCCTTCCTCTGATGGCATCATTCTGCTGTAGTTATCTGACTTGGATTAAAAAGCATATATTTATAAACCTATGTTAAGGTCCCCTCTGTGCTTGTACTAGGCTGTGGGGACAGAGAGGAATTAGACTCTGTCCCATCCTTCAAGGAGGGTCTAGCCTTTGACTGCTCTAACATCTCCAGTCATTTGGCAGTTCCAGTTCTGCCTCTGTGGCTTCCTCCCTCACTCTGTAGCACACCTGCCTTTCCCTTCCTTTCTATCCCTGCTGTCCCTGCCTCAGGTATAGGCCTTCCTTCAACCTGTTTAGCAGCCTCACTCAGCTCTCTGCCTTTCCCCAGCTGCAGTTTTTTTCTGTACATCACAGCCAGTGTGATGGCCCTCAGGTATAACTCCAGTGGTCCCCAGTAACTCCCATTACCTAGAACAGTGGTTCACAAGTGTGCACTGTAGAAATCCTTCCAGGGAATCAGCAAGGTCAAAAGAGTTTTCATAATAGTACTAAGATACAATTTGTTGTTGCAAAGTTACAGGAAGCTGTTGATACCTAAGCACAAATTAAGGCAGTGGCACTGAACTATGCTAATTGCCATCGTGTTATTTACTGTCACACACGCAACAGCTTTTAAAAACTCTGCTTTCACTTAAGAATGTCCTTGATGAAGCAAGAAAAATTAATTTTATTGAATCTTATCCTTTGAGGACATATCCTTTAATATTTGTATGATAAAGTGGAAGCACTCATAGGGCACTTCTACTGCATACCAAAGTACGGTGGTGGTCCCAAGGAAGATTATGTGGGAGTACAAGCTGAACAAGTCACTGTTTTCTTTTTGTTGTTGTTGTTGGTACTGGGATTTGAACTCAGGGCCTTGTACTTGCGAGGCTGGTGCTCTACCACTTAAGCCATGCCTCCAGTCCTTTTTGCTCTGGTTGTTTTTGAGATAACGTCTCACTTTTTGCCTGAACTAGCCTGGATCATGATCCTCCTATTTATGCTTCCAAAAATAGCTGGGATAATAGGGGTGCTCCACTACAACCAGCTTTTTCTGTTGAGATGTGGTCTCACAGACTCTTTGCCTGGGCTCATCTAAATCACAGTCCTCTTGATCTCAGCTTCTGTGAAGCTGGGATGCCCAGCTATTGGTTGAGATGATGTCTCATGAACTTTTTGCCCAGTCTGTCCTCGAACCCTGATCCTCCTGATCTCTGCCTCCCAAGTAGCTAGAATTATAGTTGTGGGCCACCAGAACCTGGCCTGTTCTCATTTTTATATGAAAGGATAACTGTTGGTTGTTGAGTGTGGAAGAAGACAGGGACCCGTGTTGGCAAGCCTTGTAAGCTGAATTAATGAGCTCAGGTCACTGTCTACAGCTTGTCTTTCTGCATCTTATAAACTCTACTCCTCACTCAGGTCCAGTCTTGTACTCCTACTTGCTATTTCATAAGCACACCTCCCTTTATTTCTTTTTTCCCCTTCATTATTCTTTCTCTTATTATTCCTTCCACCTGGAGATATAGTGTGGCTCTGAAGGCTGTTTTTAATCCCAGAATCAGAACAGAGGGAGAAGATGGGACTGAATCTTTTGTCTCTGGGAATCTCAACTATCACCACCTTGCTTAAGGCCTGTTGTGGATCACCTGGCTGGCCCTGAACTTGTCTCGTTGCCAGTTTCACTGCAACTGAGTGAGACCTTGAGTGAGGCTGGCCAGGCTTCCTACACACAGGATTCCTGGGGGAAGAACATTTTAGCCCCATGGAATCTCACTTACAGATAGACCGTCCTTTGACAGTGATGATTTGCATGCATAGCTTCTTGCATTTATCATGTGTTAAATTTGACCAACTTGTGCTTGAACTTACCCTTTCCTTGTCCCCTACACAGTAATGATGGCATCAGAAAGCATATCGATTAACTCCCAGCTCAGGCAGGAAAAGAATGTAACCTTGTACCTAATACCTATGAATAATGTGGTTTGACTTTGGTCTGTAGCTCATCTGCTGTAATATGACAAAACACAAAATTCAAAGCTATTTCAGAGCAAGAAAAAACAACCTCTGATAGATTAGACTTTAGATTAATAATGAGGATGTGGCAATAACACTCTTTAGCTTGCTTATATAAGCTAAAGTAGTGCTTCCCAAGCTTTTTGACATCAGAGCCCGTGAGAGAAGATGATAGTGCTTGGCATACTTGCATAAATAGTGAGTCCAGAGACTGGAGGCCTGATGAAGGATCAGTATCTCACTCAGAGCATATCAGTAGAGAAGCTCTGTGCCAAGGTTTATAAATAGTGGCTTTCTCACTGGTACTTGACTGTTATTGGCTACCACTTCTGGCCTTTTACCATTAATGCTTCAGTACACTATAATGGTTAAAAGCCTGAATTCTGAGCCAGACTGTTTACACTTCCCAGCTCTACCACTTACTAGCTGTGTGACCTTGGGCAAGTCACTTTACCATTCTGTACCTCAGTTTCTTCATCAGCAAAATGTGGACGATAATTATGCTTACCTCAGAGTTGTGAAGATTGAATAAGTGAGTATATGTAGAGTATACTATCTGTAAAGTGCTCCAACATTGCCTGCCACATGAGCAGCCCATGAGTGGCCACTGTGAGTACTAGTGGTAGTGTGCACAGTAACTAATGCTGTGCTTCAGAGTCACAAATGTTCTGGGTTGGCCTCCCCAGGCCCTGTGTGTTGCCTCCTCTTATGTCTCCCATAGCTTAGTCCCTTAAGGGTGTCTATCCTACTTCCTTCAGTCCTTCCATTTCCTAGTTTTATTTTTGTTGTTGTTATTTGGTGCCAGGGATGGGATCAAATGGCGGGCAAGCACTCTACCACTGAGCCACCCCCAGTCCCTCAGTTTCCTTTGTCTCAGCTCTCCATTTGTTTGGGGCCCTCAGCTGGTCAATGCCTGAGGAGGCAGCTGAGTCCAGTGGTTACGCCTTCAGCCTGCTCTCTCCACTTTTCCTTCTCTAGAAAGTCTTTTGGCTGCAGACACATTGGGGCCTTAAAAGAGCTCCAGTGTGGGTGAGTGGGATGAGGGGAGTGGGAGCTGTTTGTAGAGGCAAGTTAGCCAGATGATCCTCTGTGGTATTACACACCATATGTGAAAGTTGAAGCGTTCTTTATAGATTCTCAAAGCATGGAGTGTACATCGGGTGGCTTAGGGGACAGCATGGGTGGCTCATCAGGTTTCTAGAGAAGTGGTAGTTATTTCAGAAAGTAGGCCTTGAGGTCACCCGCCGGAAAGAGTAGTAGCTGGTACCTGTAGTCTGCTCCCTCAACTGTCAGTACTCCTTGGCTCCTCCCATCGCTCTGTGAGTTCTCTGGGCTGCAACCTGTGCAGGTGCCAGGCTTGGCTCTGTATCTTTAACACCTGCTACACTTCCAGTATAATCAGTACTTGTTGGCTAACAGGTGTCACAGTAAAAGGAAACATGTTCCTATTTCAACAGAAAACAAGATAACCATATGCATAGGAATGAAAACATTGATTATTATTGATAACTGCTGAGACTGCTTATGATCTGCCACAACTCCCCCTACATACTCCCTGCTCCAGACAACCAGTGGTCCTAACCAGCTATGCTACCTTTCCTTCAGGCCTCAGTGCATGGTCTAAGCTGCTCTTCCCAGCCCCACCCTAGCAGTTCCCACCTACCCTTCAGGTGCTGGCTTAGCTGGCTCTTCCTCCAGTTACCCAGCCAGATTAGCTCCTCTCGTCTCCACGGCACCTGGAACCTCCCTGTCACAGCATTTGTCCTACTGTACTAATATTGTTTTACATGTCAGGAGATTTCAGTGCCACAAGGGAGATAGTGTCTTCTCTTTTTTTTTTTTTTCACTATCTAGTACTGAGAAGATGCACAGTAAATGCAAAACTGGTTGAATGAATGACTTCACTTCTGGTTTCTTATTTGATCCTCACGACAGCCTTATTCTCACCAATTTTGTACCTGAAGAAATTGGCACTCAGAGAAGCTGACCGACTTGCTGGAATTCAGGCAATTTTTTTCTCCAGTGCTTATGGCACTTTTGTTTGTTTGTTTTTATAAAATAACAATTATTTTAGAAAAATTAAAGGGGCTTGCTTGTTTGTGTTGCTGGGAGTCAAACTGAGATCCTCGCCCATGAGAGGTACGTGCTCTCCACTGAAAAATGTATCCCCAGGTCTGTCATTAATTGTTTTTCACATTTATAAAATTAATATCTTCAAGGCACCAATATTTCTGAAATGTTTTTTCATCACTGAATGTTGAATTTCAGTAAGAGAAATCTAGATCCAATTTTTAAAAACTATAATCAAATTCTAAATTCCAATGCATATTGGAGAAAAAGTATTGTATTTTTTTCTTCCCAGTGCTGGAGCATGAATCCAGGTCTTTATGCATGCTAGCCAAGCAGTCTACCACTGAGCTATACCCATTGCCTATTTATTCCAATAATAAAATGATTTAGATAACAATGGCATCGAAGTAATAAATTTAATCACATACAATTTGAAAAATACCAAAAAATATAAAGAAAGAAATAAAAATCACCCCATAATACAGAGGACAAACACTACTATAGATTAGAAATGGTCTGGATTTAAAAGGGCAGCATTGAGTATGAATCCCAGTTAAACCATTAACTGGGTGTTAGGTGTTTGGTTGGTTACTTAATCTACCAGGTACTTACTCTGAGCCTGTTTATTATTATTTTAGCCTGAAATATGCTAAAATATTTAACTTTTTAGATTATTGCAAAAATTAGATATAATGTATATAAAATAACCAGCATAGTACCTGACACATAGTTGGAACTCTTTAAATTGTAGTAATATTAACAATTTCTTATATTTCTGTCTAGACTTCCACCCTATTGTGTGTTTATATGTGTACATACATACTTGTGCAGAAAGATGTTTTCAAGACTCATTTATATTAAGTATATCATTGGGTCCTTATTGAAACCCTGTGAGATGGACAGGGCAATTGTTCTTTTTTTTATTTATTTATTTTTAATTTTATTTTTGAATTAACATACATTAATATATATGAGGGGATTTCATTGTGATGATTCCATACATGATGCAGTATACTTTGAGCAAGTTTACTCCCTCTATTATCTTCCCATTCCCTCCCCTTCCTCCTCACCCCCTTTTCAAATAGTGTTTGGTGGGTTTCATCATGCTGTCTTCATCTACATGTCGCTCATTTGTGGAACTTAGATCTAAAATGATGATGGTGAAGATCATGATCATCGTGATTATAGCAATAATAATAATAATAATGGGACATGAATGTAAAAGGGAGGACTATCTGTGGGGGGACCAGCAGAAGGAGGCGAGGAAAGGAAAGAATACTGAAGATTGAAGAGGGTGGAAGTAGATGTTCTTTTAAATTTGTCATATAGATGAAGAAACTGAGACTCTGAAAGGCAGAGTTACTTGGCCTTGATTCTGTCTGGGAACAGCTGAACCAAGACTTCTCTTGGTCTCTTGATGCCAAACCCATGCGTCTCTCTCTGTCAGCAGCATGCTTCCTCCCCAAATCTGCCACTACCTCCAAGCCTGCCCAAGAGGAGGATGAGGGCTGGAGGCAGTAGAAGTGCTGGGAGCCTCTAGACTAGCTGGGGTTTGTCTAGAAACTGAAAAGAAACACTTGCTTCCTCCTCTAAAACAACAGACCCTTTTGCCCAATCTGATAACAAGGATTGGGCTTCTGGCTAGCAAGTTATGGATCTTTTGTGTCCCAGGGTCTTTTTTGGAGAGGGAGTGTGTCAGGAAATTGATGTAATTCCTAAACCAAATTCATAGACCAGACTTGTGTAGTCCGCTGGGCACAGGTGTACCCACTTCCAAAGTGTGCACTGGATACCTGAATGACCTGTATGACACACATTGCCATAACACTTAGTTGTGCATTATTTCATGGCATTTCCACTTCAGTACATACTTTCTGATGGGTGATATTCATCTGACACTGTGCCATGACTTATAGGAGAAATAGAGGTACACAAGGAACAGTCTTGGCCTTTAGGAACTTGGGGAATACTCAAGGCCAAATAAAAGCAGCACTGTGCCAGAGCTCCTAGCAGGGGGCTGGAAAGCAGAGCATGGAGTACCAACTACTAGTTCTGTACAGCGATACCCTCTATTTGCCTAATGCCCAACTGATCTCCAAAGTGTTTGCACAAACCCTAACTCTTGTGGAGTTAATAGATAGCTGCAGAGAGGCAAGGACTTTTGAGCTGGGTTCGATGGCCAAGAAGAATTCCTGATCCAGAGAAAGTAAGTAGGCCAAAGTATGGCTTGATTGTTGGACTTCCACCCAAGGAATCATTTGTCCCATGATTTCTGCATACTGAATTAAGGTCCCACACCCTGCTAGTGACTCTATAATAAAATTTAAATGCATGCATCCCAGCCCACCTCTGAATGGAGAATTGGCAAGCCCTTGGAGAGATTATGGCACTCTCCCTCCACTGTGAAGACAGGGAAGTTAAGCATGTTCCTTTTCACTTCACTGTCTTCCTACGTTTTTCCTTCCTAGTTTCAAAAACAACTCTTCCTCAACAAGTTCTCTTTACAAGGAAAGTCTTAACCATTTGTCCCTTCTGGCGTGCCCTCTTCCATTGAGATCTATGCAGAATAGACCAGGTACTCTATCTTTGTGTGTGAAGCCATCAAATCTCATATTGAGTGTGCAGCACTGCCCAGAGGTATGCCGCTTCCACAAGAGGCTCTGCAGCCCTGCTGTGGGAAAGAGCAAGAATAAATTGCTGCTAACAGGGTTTTCTAGCTAGAGCCATAAGTATGTCTGAGCATCCCCTGTGAATCACAATACTGCCAGCTCTCTTGCTGCTTCTCCGCACCACCTGCCTGTTGGCTGTTTTGCTTGTCCGCAGGCCTGCCATTGGAGTACGGACAGGGGAGGGTAAAGGAGCTGAAGTCAAAATCTGTTCACTCCACACTGGGCTTGCACTGCTAATGAGAAAATAGGTAGGACCAGGGTTGACACAACTGCACTGTCCCTCTGATGTGTAATCCGTGTTTTATTTTTGTAGAATTTCTTACAATGTTCAGTAAATGCATTTGGGCAGCTTTTTTCCTTCTAATTTAGCTTGGTGACTGTATTTAAGTTTAATTCTTTGAATTCATAGGGCATTGCTGTCAGCACATACAGCTTGTGCTTGAAGCTGTTGGTTGGAGTAATATTCTCAGATCCTCTGTGGATTCCTTTTATCCATGTGGTTGTTTGTTCTCTATTCTAAGGTATAATTGAAAATCTTGTCATCAGATCCCTAAAATGGAAGGAAGAATGCACCTAAATTGAGCTGTCAGATCGTTGGCTATTAAACTGTGCTTTCTGGATTGTGGTGTTGAAAGTGCCATTCTGTGTGCTTTCTCCTAATGGCTGCCTCGCACTCGCCCCTGAGAACACATATAGACAGGCATCAGCACTAATCTGTCTTCCAGCAGACTTGCTGTTTCTCCCATCATGTTCGGTCGGATCCTCAGAGAAGGGAATGGCCTTTCCTTTCAGAAGGCAAAGAGCCAGCTTCCATTTTAAAATCTCTCAAGGAAAAAAAACCCAAACAACACAGAGCCTGTGTTTATTGAAGGTTGGTGTGAAAGTCCCTCGCATCATCTGCCCCATCCGCACTCGAGTGCCTCTATTTTAGAAGGATGTAGAGGTTTAAGCACCCTGGTGGGGATTTAGACTCAGAGACTTCGGAGAAATCTTATTATTTCTAACTGCAGGCAAAGAGTATTAGGTCTCCACTCTGGACTAGGGGCATGACATGTTCTATAAGTAATTTATCTTTAACAGGGGACGGCCCCTACAACAGTGTCCTAGAAACAGAACTGTGATTGGGCACTGACTCATTGTTCCTCCTTTTCTCTTTCCCAGTCTCACTCTCCTGCCTTTTTCTTTTTTTCCTGACCCTTTCCTGCCCAATCTGTTCCATGTCTGTGTCTTCCCCCCTTTAAAGACATGGGAGTCAGGTGCCTGCAGTGAGAGATAATGATGTTTTTGCAATAAGTGACCTCATCAAGCCACCTGGCATAGACCTGTCAGCTGCAGGCTTTTGAGGGGGCCCTTCACACAAACTCTTCAAGGAAGGACCTGGGGAGGGGAGAGGATGCTGTGGGCTACACAGGCACTTCATTTTGTGCTCCTGTATAGAAAGGAATTTGGGGTCATTCTCAACCCTAGCTCAATCCTCTTGTTACCTTCCCAGAGGCAATCTCCACAGAAGGTCCTTGCAGCCCTGTACACATCCACAGGGATGCTGCTGAGCCTCTGACTTCATAGCAGGCTTTACTCCCACCTCTTTCTTGCCCAGCTCCCTGGGTCCTGGTGTTAAGGCTGGAGGATGTCACCAGTGGGGCCCCATTTGTGGATTCCTTATTCAACTTAAGGAATATGGTTTGGTTGGTGGCAGAGCTAAATCCACATACTAATGAGCTTGGTGAAAGCAGGCTTCTGCTCTCCTCTTCTAATCTAGCCTGTCTGTCTTAGTTCCTTTCCACAGTTAATGATCTCCTGTAATGATGTTGCCTTTAGTTTTGCCTCCTGGGTCAAAGCAAATCAATAGTACTCACAGACTTTTTAAAACCATCAGTATAAACCTTCTGGGTCTCCCACCCACACACACCCCTTCACCTTCTGGGTTAACTTACTGCTTGATTAGTACAGCACTGTTTCCTTTACATCTCCTCTTATCTCCCAGAGATGGGCAGCAGTGAGCCTTTTCCCATTGTGGACAGTGACAAGAAGAGGAAGAAGAAACGGAAGGCCCGGGCCACTGACTCCTTGCCGGGAAAGTTTGAAGGTTGGTCTCATACCCTCTTAGATCTGGGCCTGTTGCTTCCCAGCAGGCGGGAACATCTAGGTGTCAGTGGTCCAGATTCCAGGATGCCCTATGTTAGAACCAGCCATGATCATCTGGGTGATAGGGGAAGATATGGGCAAGTGAGTTTACACAAAGAAATGACAGAGCAGGAAGGGGGAAAGCTCTCAGATGATACACTGGCCTCCTTTGAATGGTCCAAGCACCCTCTCAGCTGGCAGAAAGACTGGTCTGTCAGTTGTATGTGCAATGAGATCCTCATGAGTCCCAGCTCCTCTTCAGATGTGATCTTTCCCCAGAGGTTCCTGGAAGGGCTGCTGAGAGGCAGAACAACCATGCAAGAGGAACTGAGAACAACACTAGGGGCCGTGGCTGCAAATGACACTGAAGTCTTCTCTCAGAGAATGCAGCTACTTGTGCTCTGTGTTAAATTTCCTTTTAAAGCTTGCATGTGGTGTTCAAGAAACACAATGTTGTGTCATCATTTTGGGCACTCTCCATTGTCAGATGCTAGGCTCACTGCTGGTTCTGTTGTCACTGGGCATGTGATGGGAAGACATGAATTACTGGGCACTTCCACTAAGGACCAAAAAGATCAGTGGCTACTCCTGGGAGTATCCTGTCCCCTTCAGCTGTTTTGTGTCTTTCACTGTGAGACCTGAAGTAGTTTTCCCTCATGGGCCCTCGTCCCAGCCTTGCACACACACCAGTGAACTGTTTTGTAGAGTGTTCTGATAACAAGCACTTGATGAGTCAGGAATATTAGACTCCAACCACATAACATCCTGATGTTAGTAAAAGGCTAATGCTAAAGTTTGCACTGCAAGAGAAGGATGCCATTTAAATACTTTACAAACAACAATGTGCCATCTGTTCATTCATATAGACACCTGTAGGACCAGACTATGGTGGAACCAGGACTATACTTAGTGCAGGGATTTGTTTTGTTTATTTGTTTGCCCTTAACTCAAACTCTGTGTATGTGTGTGTGTGTGTGTGGTGAAGGGGAGAGGTAGTAGGAGATAAAAGTCCCCAGGGTTTTAGAACAGTTTGCAAACTATTCTAACAGGTCTTTTGCTCCTTTAGTGAACACATGAGAGAATTTCCTATTATTTAGGGATAGCTTATGCAATCATGGACTTCTCATAACTACAAGTGATAAGATCTCATGTCATGGTTTAAAGTCTTTTGTTCAGTCGTGGGTTTAAAGACTAGACTGCCTCAAGAGTAAAAATCTGAGAAGTGGAGCAAGGGAGGACAAGGTCAGCTTGGCAAGGACTGTGGTGGAGATGTACCTTCCTTTGTGCTGTTTGTGAACCTGAGCAGGTCACCTGAATGCTCTTTCAATCCAGAGCTGTTACTCTGTTATGATCGCTCTGACTCAGTACCTAAAACCTCAAGGCATTGTTTGCATCCTACTTCTGTCTCTGGTTTCCTGTGGGTTACTTCTGGAAAGTTCTCAGAAACCTCCAATGGCCTCCATTTTGTGTATAAAATAGGATGGTATTTTATTCACCTCATGTCAATGGTGCTAGCATAGAGCTTGGCACATAGTAGTCACCTAATAAGTAAGTAAATGAATTATGTTCATTCCCCTTCTGTGAGGCTCTCCAGATTCCCTAACAGGTTTCCCCTCTCTCTTCCTCTGCTATTTTTTTTTCTTTACTGTTCTTGTCACTCTATAATAGCACTCACCACTACCTGGTTTATTCTGGGGCCACTTGTATTTGTGTCTGTCTTCTCCACTAGAGTGAGACCCTCTGAGGTGAGGCACTCTTAATCTTGTTCCTTACTCTGTCCCTGTTGTGTTGTCCAGTACCTAGTAAGTGCTCAGGAAACAGGTGTGCATCAAAACCCTATCTCTGACCTCATCTCTAAAATGAGGAACAGGATGCATTCTGTGTGATCTTGTTGAGAATCTGAGTCCTGCACTGATTGGGAAAGCTGCACATTCTCCTCATCACTGAGGGCTACAGAGTCAACATGGCCTATTCTACCTGGATGGTCAGACAAGGGAAACTCTTCTTCCCATCTTAGCTCACAGTGAGGTGACTCATCTTGTTATTCCTCTCACCCATTTCACCTCTAGATATATACAAGCTGACCTCCGAATTGCTGGGAGAGGGAGCCTATGCCAAAGTTCAAGGTGCTGTGAGCCTGCAGACTGGCAAAGAGTATGCTGTCAAAGTGAGTTTCTCATCTGGATGCCAGGCTTTACTTTGCAAATAGTCATTCCTAGATTGTCCCAAACCTCAAGCTGTATGTTCTGCAATCTGGTGGCTCAGTAAGAATGGGGAAATCCAAAGCTGTAGGTAGTCAACTGGATTCAAGTCTTGGTTTTTCTATTTAACTGCTGTATAACCTTAGGCAAGTTATTTTACCCTTTCCATAAGTTTCCCCTTCTATAAAATGGGTATTGCGATAGAACATTTAAAGAATTGTGAGGATTGAATAAGTTAATGTGTGCAATGTGATTAGGCAATGCCTAGCTGTTTCTTACTACCCCAATAAACAAAGCCAGTTTCTGGGAGTGGACAGTCAGATTTGGAATTAGAAGCCCTGCCTGAATCTTTGTTTTGACAAACTGTTTCTTCTTTGACTTTGGGCAAATGAGAATCTGGGTAATCTATTGACTTTGGGCAATCTCCTAAAGACTCAATTCCACATCTCTAAATGAAGGTGATGATTCCTGCCCTTTCTGTCTCATGACTTAGTTGTGAGGATGGAATTAAAAATGAACTGGTAAAGGCAGTATTACACAAGTCTTATATAATAACAAGATAATACGGACTAAAACCTGAAGCAAACGAGCACTCAGCCTTGGGACAGGAGGTGTGGCTTCTAGCCTCATCGCTGCCTTTAACTAGGAGTGATATCAGAGTGGCTCACTTCACCACTCTGCTCCCATTGGCCACTCTGAGTGAAAGAAGGGATGGAGGTAGAGCTGTGGTTCTCCCAGAGTGAGGTCCCAGGATCAGCAACATCAGCATCACCTGGGAACCTGTGAGAAAATGCATGATCTGCCCCTACCTGGAACCTACTAAACCAGAAAATAGGGATGGCCCAGCAGTATTAATGTCATCAAACATCAAACTGTCCAGGTAATTCTGATTCTTACTACAGTTTGAGAACCCTGATGGAGGCTAGAGGGGGTGGGAATCACTCAGCCAGGTAACAGAGAACACAGAGAGCCAGGTTGCTTGGTATACACGTGTTTTCACCAAGCTCCCCAGGTGAATCTGAGACCCACCAGCATTTTCCTTTTTTGGGGGGTGGGTCAGAACTAGGACTTGAACTCAGGGCTTCACACTTGCTAGGCAGGCACTCTACCACTTGAGCTACTCCGCCAGCCCTTTTTGTGTTGGATATTTTCAAGATAGGGTCTCATGAACTATTTGCCCAGCTGGCTTCAAACGATGATCCTCCTGATCTCTGCCTCCTGAGTAGCTAAGATTACAGGTTAAGCCACCAGTGCCCGGCTCCCACCAGCATTTGAGGACCACTAAGCTAGAGAAAGGACCTTACTAAATCTGAGAGAACAATTCAAACTTATTTCAAATCAGCCACCTGGGCCACCAAATCTAATCATTGCCTTCTGGTGAGCCCACCAAACTGTTTTTTTTAAAAATTGTCTTTTTCAACTAATTTTTCACAGTTCCAGTTGTGGATTATGAAGAACACTTCAGCTAAGCCACAGGCTCAGTGCTTCTCACTGGGATGTTGCTTTACATGGTAACAAGAGAGTTAAACCTCCATCCCTTTTTGGAAACAGGCATAAATTACAAGTAATTTCTTTTTTAAAAAAACTGCATAAGTGTGGTAAAAACCACAAATATAAATTGATTTTCAAAGGTTTGATACAGTATGGATAACAGATCTATTTCTTCCAGGCTGGGTCACAGGTAGAAAACATGGCCATTAGCTCCATGCCCCTCTGCCCTGGCTTGGCAGATCTTTGGTTTCAGCAGTTCTTCCCATGTCTTACTCTCTGAAAGCTGCCTAGAGATGGGCTGCTTCTCCCAACATGGCTCCTTAAGACTTGGTTTATTACTGCCTTCCCTTTAGGCATCCAACTGATGAACCTCAAGCTGGGACGGACTGTCTGAATTATCTGATGTGAATTTCCTCTGAGCCTCCCCAAATAGTTGTCCATGTTCTGCTCCCCTTCTCTAGTGACCAGAGCCTTTTAGTTATCTCCTTTAGAGAATTCTGCTGTTGCTGGAAAGTTCTCCCTAACTTTGACCTGAACTGTCTGGTGAGTGAGACTGAATAGCCTGGTGTTGAATCACTTCTGTTCCCCAGTACTGTACCTAGTTGACAGCTCAGAAAATGAGTCAAATGGTTTACTAACAGACCTGGGCTTATTTAGAAAGTTACAGTTGGTTATAGATGTCTGTGCTTCAGCATATTGGAGACATTTGAAGTGTTTTGCCCAGCAGTGTTGGAAGGAAGGAGCAGGATCACACCATCTGAGCTATGAGGCAGGGCCAACTCTGCAGAAAATTTACCTGAAGTCTCTGTTTTCAGTGGTCTGGGGTTCTGCATGTCTGCAGAGTGCTTTTCAGAGGCAGCCAGTCCCCAGAGAAACCACCGCTCTCCTGTGGACTCAACATTTGCTGAGCATTTTCAGGTAGCGATGTAGCAGTAGCCTGTAGTATCAGAGCCTCTGAATGCTGGAAGATGCTGTTTAGGCTAGAAGCAGGTGTGGAATAGCAAGAGCTGTGGAATCAGCCCTGGGCTGTGGACAGGGTGCTTTACATCTTCCCGTCTTTTGACATTGTTGTAAGGGTTGAGCAGAGATTGGGTGTGTAAATTACTTAACCCAGGGCCTGCCTAAGAGTAAGTTCTCAGAAGAAGCAGTATTTACTTCTGCCTGGAGGAATTGTGGAGTGACATCTGGGCTGGGCTTGGAGACTTTAGTTCTTCCCAGTCATCCTTCCTCATCCCTATCCTTCCTCCAGCTCTAGAAGGATCTTCTGTAGAGGCTACCATTTCTTACCTGTAAGACAGAAAAGCCACCTTTCAGGACTAGGAACTGAGTAGAGATCAGTCTGTCTTGCTGCCTGCTTCAGTCTCCCTTGCACAGCTGAGGGCAACAGCCTCAGAGTCTTCCTTGCTGACATGTGTGGCCAGAGTTGAATATCCTCATCTGGGCTGGAAGCCCTCAGGTCAGTCTCCTGCTTCGCTCACAGAGCCATAGTGCCTATGTCACCAAGGCCTGCTCCAGACTCCTGCTGAAAACTGGATTCGGACTGTGTCTAGCCTTGCCTTCTCCCAGGAGCTCCTGTTTAGGGGCTGTTTTGAGTTCAGGTTGTATACATGACAGATTTTATTCTTTCATAGATCATTGAAAAACAAGCAGGGCACAGTCGGAGTCGAGTATTCCGAGAGGTGGAGACACTCTACCAGTGTCAAGGAAACAAGTGAGTGTCATGTGGCTGGCTTCCTACTTCTCTGGGGGATGCTTGGCCACAGAAAAAGTTATAAGGTTATTATATCCCCTGACCTCAGCACTTCAAGGTCATGCCTTCCCTACAATTGCATGTAGTTCCTTCCATCTTTCCATGGGGGAGAGGGAGCAAGGGAAGGAGGGAGCGAGGAGAAGCAGCAGTAGCCCCAAGAAGCCATCTTCTTTTAGTCTGAATTGCTGTAAATATCAGCAATCCAGCAAGGTAGAAGAGTAAGCACTCACTATCAGTGGCTATTTGGGGAGAAATGGGGTTTCATTTCCTTCCAGTGCCTGTGGAAGCTGGGCCAGCTGAGGGTTGCCTGGTAGAAATCTTTAGGGCTGCTTTAACGCAGACACGAGGTCAAAGAGTAGTGTTAGAATATTTGCTGCTTTTTTCCCTTCCCAGCACACTTACATCTATACAGGCACTGCTAAGGGTGCTGAAGCCAAGGCCAACAATCCTTGCTTGATAACTGGGCCAGTGGTAACCTCTGGCCTTGTGTTGGGCTGCTCCAAATGAGTGGCTCTCCCAAAGTGGCTTTAAATCAGGGTCACCTCTAAGACTTGCTTCCCCCTCTCTCCCTCCATGGCAGGGTCAGCAGGGAGCCAGTGGCCTGGTATTGATGGCTTTGTCATTAAGCTTGGAGGATGGGGGCTGCTGTTGATTTAACTCCAGGCACTACCTCTACAATCTTCTTTCAAATTAGGCCATTTTGACCATCTTATTTGGACGCCTTCACACTAGTAAAAGCCTGGTGTCTCCCCAAGTGGTCAGCATTTTTTTATGAGGGACAGATTTTTATTTTCAGCCCTGCAGCTTCTTAGTTCAGCATTAGAGACTCTACTTGGTTTATTTCATTCTTTCAAATAAAAAACCCCCCAACACCTCCAATATCCAGGCTGGTGACTTCCCTACTGAGTTACAAGACGACCTTGTTGGCAGAGCACTGCAGTACATGAGCAGACAGAGAGTGCTCACCGGGGAGGGCCACAAGTGCTGCAGTGACCAGAAACGTGGCCGTTTCATTAAGCAGCGCTTAGCAGTTAGGGTCTAGCAGTGCCCACGTTAGGCCCCAAGTCTATTTGACAGATGTTTCCATTTTCTCCAGGCAATGTAAATACTGCCCCGTGATTTATGGGCAAGAGGGAGGGCAAGTAATTATTTGCTACTTGCCTCCAGGACACACACCTACTATTCAGTGTTATTAGCCGCAATTGCTTCCAGTCGGCTGCAGATTTTATTCAGTTTAATGTGACCGAGACTTTTTTATAACTCTACCTAGTGGGTTTTAGGGTTGGGGTTTGACAGCACAGACTTGGCGAAAACACCAGAGACTAAACATTATGGAAAGATAAGGTGACCTGACTCTTGCTAACGCCATTGGCTGCTTCTCAAACATGGGTCTTTAATAAGCATTCTGATTTCAAGTTGTTTCTGTCCTACTACAGGGCATTGTATATTTTTTATTGTGTATTTGTAAATGGACTTTAATATACAATACCATTCCTCCCCATTTCCCTCTCCTATTTTTCTCTATTTAAGGAACATTTTGGAGCTGATTGAGTTCTTTGAAGATGACACCAGGTTTTACTTGGTCTTTGAGAAATTGCAAGGAGGTACTTCTTGTTGAATATGTGTTTGGACTTCGGATTAAGACTCAGGGTGGTGATCATCCATCATGAATCCCAGAGACTTCTAAAATGAGTCAAGCTAATGAAAAGGATGAAGGACTTAAAAACTGCCCTTGATTTGGGAGAAGGGAAGCCGGAGGGAAGGATGATAATTAGCATTTTGCAGCGCTTAGAATGTCACCTGTGTGAACATTCAGTAAATGCCTTTTCATTATAATAGGAGTCATATATAGATACATTTAGTGAGCAATTTATCAATCCCCAGTTTTGACAGGCTCACTATTTAACTAAATTAAATATGGGATAGAAGGAAGCTCTGGCTTACATTGTGAAATCTAGAAAGGCTAAACAGAAGAGAGGAAGGCCCCATTGTTTGGGACACAGACCTAGGATAAAGGGGAAGCCAAGAACATGCCACCCTTCAAGTGGAAGGATGCCACTCTTGCCCTACACCATACTGCTGTCACCCACCCTTATATCACCCATATATCATTTAAGTTACTTTTCTGACATAGCAAAGGCAGTAGAGAAATGCTTTCTGTCCCATCCCTCACCCAACCATAAAACACATTTGCAAGGTAAAGGTTATAGAGATGTGTGGAGCTGAGTGGAGGGCTATACAAAGGGACTTGATGGTCAAGGGGGCATGCTTTAGAAACCAACAAAACTAAGCTTAAGTCTAGCTCCATCACTTGCCAGCCATGTTACTTTGTTCCATGGGCAAGGCCCTTAACCTTTCCCAAACAGCATTCTCCTCTGTAAAATAGAGATATTGGTAGCACCTACCTCATGGGGTTACTGTGAAGATTAAATAAGATAATTCATGCAAAATGTATGACACTGTGCCCTGTAGACATTGATGGTTCAATAAACATTAGCTGATAATATTATTAAAACAACCAGGTAGGCTGAGGATAGCCTTAGAAGTATGTAGACTATTACTCTGCCTTCCCTTTTAACAAATTTAGAAACAAGAGACTTACGATTGTAAGGCAAGTCAGAGCCTTGCTAGGAGCTTGTTTTCTGAGGATGTTCCCTAACATGGTGGGATCCTTTGACTGTTTCATCTGGCAGTTAGATTTTTGGCAGTCCTTTTCCTTCTCTGATCTCCTCCCCATACAAAAAAAAAAAACCAAACAAACAAAATAGACAATAAGTAAGCATGAGCCATTTTTAGGACACAGAAATTACATCTTCAGCCTAGAACTATAGGCTTCCGGTAGTGAGTACACACCACATGAAGCCAAGCCTGTTGTTGCCCCACCCCACCCCAGACTGTGAATTACATGTTTGGAATGCTGAATGCAGCTGGGTCTTCTGTAGCCATATCACTTAGAATGTAGCTGTACTGAGGCCAGACCCAAGGAGTAAACAGTGTGTCTGGCTCAGAGCAGTCCATTTCCCCAGCAGTCTGACTACAGTCCTGCTGATGGGAAGTCTGTACAGGCTCTGAAGCCAAACTACATCCTGGCTCCAACACTTACTGCTGCATAGTCTCAGGCAAGTTACTTAACCATTTCTTGGCATCTAGATGCCCATCTGTAAAATGCAGATAACTATCCATTTTGTGGTACAATTACGGTTGAGAATTTATTTAAAGAACATTGCACAGTACCTGGAACATAGTAACTAAATAACTGTTTCATTGCCAACAAAATATTAATAACATAGGGGGAAGTTCAGGAGGAAAAGTAGTTTTGCCCTGGTTTCTAACTTAGGTATCTAGTGGTGGGGGGGAGGGCAGTATTTCCACTGGAAGGGGTGTGTTCTTGTTTGAATCTGAGCTCAGCTTCAGGGGAGGAAATGTCCCTAAGGTCTCCTAGCCCCATGTGTATTCACTCCTAGTTCCTTTTGTTATCAGAAGCCAAATCACTCCCATTGGCATTAATTTTTTTTGCCATATAAATAATTGTTCTCTGTCATTTCTGAACTCATAGACAGGCATAGAATGTAGCTGTCTAATTTTGTTCAACAGACAGACATATGCTGGGCCCTCCTCTGTGCCAGACATCATACTTAATGCTAGACATTTAGCCTTGAATAGGCCTATGTCCCCATCCCAAACTTGTGAAAACTTGGCCTCTGAGAAGTTATTCTTACTAAAGCCTGCAAAGGCATTCTTCCATGTCCCCTTTGCCCCTCAGGATCCATCCTAACTCACATCCAGAAGCGGAAGTACTTCAATGAGCTAGAAGCCAGTCGAGTGGTTCGAGACGTTGCTGTTGCCCTTGACTTCCTGCACACCAAAGGTGATCCAAGCTTCTTCCTTGGCTGGGCAGGTTGGGCTGACCAGGCTCTGGATAGCAAGGGAGATGGTACAGGCCTGCCAGGGGATTTATCCAGGAGGTGGTCTAGCTGGCAGGCAGCTCAAGATTTGAATATGCCTACCAGGGAAGGGGAAGTGGAGGCCGTCTATTATGGCTCCTAGACTACACTGTGAATGGTGGGGAGATGGTGGAGCTATGAAGCAGGATGTAGATACAGGAGCAAGAAGGAAGAAAAGGAATGAGTTTCACATCAGTCAAGGCATGTGTGAGTGTGTACACCTTGACTGTGTAGAGGACTCTCTTTTCTTGATGAAGAATGTAGAACTCATGCATGATTAATCCTACTATGAATATTTTAGTGTCATTCCTTTTAGTCTTTTGAAGTATGTGACCTGTTTCCCTTCAAAATTGGTGTGATAGCATGTGTGCAGTTTTTATGTATCTTGTTCACAGTAAATAAAAATATTTTTGTTTTGTTTTTTGTTTTTTAGTCAGGGTCTCACTATGTAGCCCAGGTTGGCCTCAGACTCTTGATCCTCCTGCATCAGCTTTCCAAGTGTTGGAATTATAGGTGTGTACAATGCACCAAACTTTTAAAAATGCATTTTTGTATTCATACACAAGTTTGTGTTGTCTGTCAAACCTCACAGTGGTAACTAAGCAGGTTGCCATTGTTTGAAGTACACTTCAGTTTATAGTCCCTTTCCAGGACTGATAATTTAAGAACTTTTGTAGTGAATTAAATCTTTTTGCAATTAATTTGTAAAGACACTTACATGTCTTTACATTTCCATAAATCTGTTGGACTATTACATGTTGAACAGCAGCACTGTGGGGGGAAAAATGAGTTATGGCTTCACTTCTCTTCCAGCTGTGTGTTCTTTCAGCAATAACACCTACCCCATAGAGCTATGGTGAGGATTAGGAGAGATGATAATGTCATCCATGGTAGTTAACACTTACACAGCACTCTTTATGGACTAAGCACTCTTGTAAACCTAAAGTACATGTATTTACTTATGTAGTTTTGTGCATCTTCTGTATGTATCGTGTGTGTGTGTGTGTGTGTGTGTGTGTGTGTGTGTGTGTGCGTGTGGTTTGCACAGGTGGGCATAGTTCTGGCACATAGCTGTTCCTCATTAAATGTTATTTCCTCCAACCTCATCCCCAACCATGCAAAAGCATTTTTATTCTGAATATTAATTCCCCTAAAGTAATTCCACCTTCTGCCTGGTGGCGGATAGAGGTAGAGCAAATAATTTGTGACTTAGCTTCTCTCCCTTCAGGATTGTGGCCAGCCACCTTGGTTGTGAGTGCTCAGGACCAACTGTGCGCATGCCGCCCGCCCATCCACTTTGTGCCAGCAATCCAGTGTAGCTTGGTGAGGCAGGTGTCCAAGAGATTCAGGCTCATTGGTGCTACCTGGTTTCCTCCAGTAGCTGAAAGAGATCTGCAAACTGACAGTATCCATGTTGGGACCCTGACTTGTACCTGGGCTGAAAATTCCTAGAAGGGGGTGTCTGTACCTTCCACAGCATGATGAATAGCAGCAGTTCTGTTTCTGAAAGCTGGGATGCATGTAGGTAACACCTGCCTGACAAAGATTTACAACTGTTCCCCAAGCTACCTCTGTAGATTGCAAAACTGGGTCACGCTTTTTACAAGAGCTATACCTTGGAGGAGGGGTAAAGGCGGTTTGTTTATTTATTTATTTATTTATTTACAAGAATGCACTGAAGGGAATGGAGGCCTGTGCTGTCTTAGGAGCCGTGAAGTGCTTGTTAACGTCTAGCTGGCTAGTTGCCCATGTGACTAGAAGTTGGAGGGGATGAAAAACGATTTCCAGCTGAACTTGGCTGTTTTCTAAATAATTTCATGCTGGGAAGATGAATTGGGCAAGAATGGGTCAGCCCTGAAACAAGTTCCTTACTTTTAAATACTGGACACACTACAGCTTAACCTCTGGGAAATGAACCAGAGTGGCTGGATGGCTGGTGCGCTCACTCAGGTAGGCCCATTATTATAGCCTGGCTCCCAGAGTTCTTCCGACTGAGGGACGAGTAGGCCACGGGCACCTATTTGAAGAGTAAGGCTCTATGTGTGGCTCGTGATCCTTCTGTGGGAGCACTTGCTATAATGGAAAATATTCTTCACTTTTAGTGCAGCAAGCGGTAGCCTGACTCAATTTGTGCAGGCTGGGCCGAGTTGCTCTGGGTTCTCATTTCAATTTGGTGACTGATGAAGTTACTTAGCATGCTGGAGCTCAGTTTTTTCCTCTCTAGCGGAGTGCCTTAGGTGCGCTGGCACCTTTGCCTTCTAAGTAGGGAATCGGAAGGATGCCTAAGAAGTTGATTGTGCAGAGTTTGAGTAAGACAGAGTCTGCTTTCCCCATTATCCCAAGAGTCCTCTGCTAATTTCCAGGCCTTTGAAGGAGGAGCTATTTGACTCTTACTCAACCTCCCAGGCCTCATGTCTCCATGCTGTGCATACTGTGGAAAGAAGGAGGAAAAGGAGACTTCTGTGTTCTCCATCAGAACACCATGGCCCTGTCTGTTGGTTCTTTGTCCCTTTCTGTAGTTGGAAGATGACTTTCCCCTAGGTACCTTCTTAGCCAGATCAACAGCTTTTAACCCCTCATGAGGTCAGCTACTATTTGCAGTCCTCTGGCCTAAATGCTGGGGCAGCTTTCCTGAAGAACAGACTCAGGCCAAAACTGCTTTTGTCCTGCTACAGGCAGGGCTGCCTTGGACATCCAAGCAGGTGAGAAGGAAATTGGACAAGCCTTTGGGAGATTTGCTAACTAATACTTAGTCCTCTGAATATTCAAAGAATCACATAGAAAGAATCCATTGTTTTTGTTTTTAATCAGCTACACAGAAGAAATGAAGTAGAGCAGTCTAAGCCCCCTGAGATGCTCTTAAACAAGGCACTAATTATTTCTGCATTGCTGTTCCAAGCATTGTCACTTGCAGAGCTCTCTGCCTGTGCTTTGCAGCAGGCAGCACAATAAGAATTCTTGGTTGTCTTTGCAGTGATGAAAGTAGGCTGGCTGGGATTCATTTAGCCCTCTTATCCCTGCCAGACTTCTAAAGCCTCTGCTTCAAAAGAACTCACAGAATCAACTGCTTTTGGTTTGTGTCTCTGGTTACTTCTGCCTCCTGCAGCTCGTTGATTTTTTAATGTACCATAATTGGGAATTAATCTGCGAACAACAGCATTTGGAAAGAATTAATTGTGTGTGGAATGTTTGATAATTATGTGCATATGTTAACCATTTCTTTGCTGTTCATAATTTCAGGCATTGCTCACCGTGATCTGAAGCCAGAAAATATATTGTGTGAATCATCAGAAAAGGTATTTAGGGCCTGACTAGAATGTTACAGTTCATACAGATCAGGAATGCCACCCTGCTCCCAATACAGATTGTTTAGCAGTTCTCTTGGCCTCAGAACCAGCTGATTATTATGAATGCATGAGAATGTTGTACCTAATATGTAATGTTTCAAGTAGTTAGTTCTTGTTCTTTCTTTGCTCTTTATCATTTATGTTGGCTTAAGCCTGCAAGCTTGTAACATATATGAGACCTGCACAAAATTAATATTTTTTTGTCCAGCACACCCATCTTAAAGCAATTGATGTAAGAAGCAGCTGTTTCACATGAGCACATCCCATGAATGATATTTGGAATATGGTATATATGCCAGATGGTGTCCACCATTAGAACTAATAAATAGGAAGCAAGTTCTTGAAAAGACTTTGTTCCCATTTCTATTTTCAGAGGTGCCCATTAAGAAGAAAACACTGATGCTTCATGTGGAACAAATGCAACCTATTGTAAACATTGCCTTAACCCAACCTACTAATAAATGGAAGTGTTTTCATTTCCATCAGTGTGTGTGAATTCGACAAATCCTGTGTTTGAGAAGAGATGTAGGCCCTGGTAATGTTCACAGCTTCATATGTGTACATACAAGTGCATATGCAAGAGCAACATGTCTTGGTGTGAATGAAGCCATACTCAAACATAAGGAATGTCTATGAATGAATATATGAGTCAGCCTGCTACATACAGCTGTTTGTAGAGTTGATAATGTATTAGCTCTAGTAAGATCTTAGGACTTTTCTGTTGGTGGTTCTAACATAGTACTTTATAATTTGTCATTATTACAATTATTCATAATAATTACAGCTAACATTTCTCAAGTGTTTACACTGCCAGGCACTTCTGCATAGTTAGTATTTATAAAATGTCTTGAGGTAGAGATACAATTATTATGTTCATTTTATGGATGAGGAAACTGAAACTCAGATTAAGAAAGTTACTCAGCTGGCTGATAGGAGAGTCTAGACTAAAACTATGGTAGCCTGACCCCAAGACTCAATAGGTGTTCCAAACCTCCTATTCCTCTGATTTACAGGTCATTTGTTTCATGTATTCTTCATGATATATGTGTTGTTGCTCCTTTTTTTTAGTGGTTGTTAAAACTATAGAGAGGCTAAATATCAAAGGACATTATCACAAAACTGAAAAGATAACTTACAAAATGGGAGAAAATATTTGCAAATCATATATCTGATAAGGGCTTAATGTCCAAAATATATAAAGAAGTCTTGAAACTCAACAACAAAAACACAACCTAATTTAAAAAATTTTAAATGTCCTGAATGGACATTTTAAAGCAGATCTACAAATGGCTAACAAGCACATAAAAAGATGTTCAGTATCCTTAGTCATGAAGAAATTGCAAATCAAAGCTATATGTAGTAAAACACCAGTACACACCTACTAGGATAGCCATAATTTTTAAATGGAAAATGACAAATACTGGTGAGGTTGTAGAGGAATTGGAACCATTGTACATTGCTGGTGAAAATATAAAATGTAGAAAACAGTTTGGCAGTTCTTCAAAAGGATAAACACAAAAATACCATATGACTCAGAAATTCTCCTCGTATAAACCCAAAACATTGAAAACAGAGACTAGAATAGATACTTGTATACTAATGTACATTACAGTTATTCACAATAGCCACAGGTGAAACAACCAGTGCCCATAAACAGATGAATAGATTAACAAAGTGAAGTCCATATGTATGATGGGACACTATTCAGCCTTAAAATAGTGAAGTTCTGATATATGTTGCACCATAAATAAACCTTGAAAACATTATGCTTAGTGAAAGAAGCCAGGCACACAAAGATAAATATTATATGTTTCACTTATATGAAATATCTGAAATAGAGCAATTAATTAATAAAGACAGAACGTAGATAGAGTTATTTGGGTTGCAGGTAACAGAATGGGCAGTTATTGCTGGAGTTTAGTTCCTGTTTGGAGTGACAGAAAGGTTTTAGAAACATGATGGTGATGGTGGTAGAACAGTATGGATGTTATTAATGCCACTGAATTGTACATTTAAGAATGGCTTAAAAAGCCAAATGTGGTAGTGCATGCCTGTAATTTCAGCACTTGGGAGGCTGAGGCAAGAGGATTGGGAGTTTGACGCCAGCCTGGGTTGCATAGGCATTCAAGACAAGCCTGGTCTACACAGTTAGACTCTGCCTGAAAACAAACAAGAATGCCTACAATGACATTTATGTTTTTATCTTACCACAATGAAAGAAAGAGAGGCTAAGTGAAAAAGCAGAAAGAATTAGAAAAAGAAGGCTGGGAATAGAGAGTGGAGAAAGGAAAGAAGTTGGAAGACTTGCCCAGGCCTTCCTGGCAGGTGTACAGGTGAGCTGAGATCCACAGACCAGCATTTTCAATTCCCTTTCTGTGTTGTCTTCCTTCTCTCTCCTTTGCAACACAGACATCTTACTTGGGCTCCACACACAAGTCACTCTGTCTTGGGCTCAGGCACAGAAGCCAGTTCTGCTACGCTTAACTGCTGAGTTGATGTCACCCAGTGTGACCAACCATCCAAGTTTTCCCAGAACTTTCAATGATTATACCAACAAAGTCCCAAGCAAACAAACCAAGACATGTTGATCACCTTAAGCCACCTGATGTCGTCAAGGCTTTTACTCCCAAGTTCTCTGTCCTACATCAAGTGGGCTGTGACGGGACTGTCTTTCTATCATTTGCTGGCCAGACTTCCATTCTTATCATACTAAGTATATAGCAATTTCACATTATCTAGTTCACCCATCTTTCTCTTTAGAAAGATGTTAACCCAAGGGGAGTAAACATGTCCTTGTAGACAGAGTGGGCTTGTGTGCGATGACCATACAACCGTGCACTCGTTAGTCATGCTGGTCTCCTCATGCCCTCCAGCTTTTTAATCTGTGGCCTCTGGATTTTGTCTTTACAGGTGTCTCTGGTGAAAATCTGTGACTTTGACTTGGGCAGTGGGGTGAAACTGAACAACTCCTGCACACCCATAACCACACCAGAGCTGACCACTCCGGTACGTGCTGCTGTCTATTCTGGGTCCTTCCTGCTTTATGCATGTGTAGTGTCCGATCTAAAGCTGTGGCATGCAGAACAGAGCTGAGGAAGAAAAACCTATAGCACTTCCCAGGCCTGAATCATCCTTTGGCTCTGGTTTATTGGTAGCTCCCAAACCCACCCCTACCCTATTGCTAGTGAAACTGACATTGGAACTTTACTTTGGGCTGGGTCCTAGTGAAGAGACCAATTTTCTCCACAGTACAGACTGTGTCCTGACTCCTGTCCCAGGTGAAAACACACTACTCCCAGGCTGGTCCTGTTGCATATAAGATATGTGTATAACTCTGAGTACAATTCCCTCTGCCAAAGTCAGCACATCCCCCTTGTGGTGGAGGATGGGAGTTGTCCTCCCGACGAGGGAAGCAGTCTCTGTGGCGAAACTGTGGTGCCCAGCTACGTGCACTTAGGACTGCTTGTCGTTTTGCTTCTCCTACTTCATATTTCACGCCCAGATGGTGCTGCTGGAAACCACTTCTTTCTAAGACATCTCTTGTACGTACTTGATACACTATAATTAGAATGATTCTTTTGAGATTTGCATGCTTCATAAGTGAGTTTTCCTAATAGCCTTTTTTTTAAGACATGCCTTTAAAAATGCCTATATTGTATCTTATTCTAAGCAACATTATTAGGAATGTTTCTATATTAACTTCTAACACACAGGGCTACCTTGTTATCAAAGTCATTAACTCTAATTGCCAGTAACAAAGATAATATCCTTTCTCAAGAGTACTCACCATCTTCCAATTAAATTAGCTTTGTGGGCTGGGAATGGGGGGCGTTTCTCAACCTGAAATAATGAAGAGGGGAGCAAAACGAATATGTTTTTATTCTTCTCAGCAGTTTTCTGTGCAAGGGTGGGAGAAATCCTGGATCCTGGCCTGGGTCTGCACTGCTATGCCCTGTGTTCCATCTTGGGCTTTGCCTTTCTCAGTATAAATGGGAGGGGCGATTGGGAAGATTGGATTTGTCATCAGAGTTCCTCTAACTTTGATGGTCTTCTAATTCTAAACCCTTATCTTTCCTTGCTCTGAGCTAGTGGGGAAACTAAGCAAGAATCACTTTAAGGCGTCCCTGCTGGATGGAACTGGATCTCCCTCCTAGACCACATTCCTGGCATTAAGTCCCTCCCTATACATGCTTGGTCTGATTATGGATAACTGAGGCAGGAAGGGGCACCTGGGGCTTCTTGACCAAGATCTCTGCCACTGAAGAAGGACCTGAAAACACAAGAAGGTGACTTGGAACTAGCCATGTGGTCCACAGAGCATGAGGGACTCAGTTTAAGCTTCTCTTTATGCCTTGGTGGTAACGGGCAAGCCCTCTGGCTTTCCTGAGGACCTCTGTTCTCTGACTTCATGTTCAAGTTACACTCTTTACTTTGCCATCCCTTTTCCTTGGACTCATTCTCTCTTCTTTGCCATCTCCCCTTGCCCCAAACCCTGACCCCACAGTGCGGCTCTGCAGAATACATGGCCCCTGAGGTGGTAGAAGTCTTCAGGGATGAAGCCACTTTCTACGACAAGCGCTGTGACCTGTGGAGCTTGGGTGTGGTCCTCTACATCATGTTGAGTGGCTATCCCCCTTTTGTAGGACACTGTGGGGCTGACTGTGGCTGGGACCGAGGAGAGGTGTGTAGGGTATGCCAGGTGAGTATAGCCCTGGGGCCCACCGCACAAGCCCTGCTGGGATCAGCATGGCTGTGGGGTGCCATGCAGGACTGAGATGGGTGATTGTTCCTGATCTAGAAGGGGTTTGCAATGCCCCTGCCTCTCTGTCAGGGAAGCCACAGATGAAATAAGGATAGTTGGGTACTCAGCCCAGCTGGAAGTTCAGGGAAGAATTACTGGAGGAGAAGGAGAAATATAAGTAGGATGAATGGCATAGGCAAAGACCTAGAGGTATGAAACAGCCTCATGTGTACAGGGAAGACGAGACAAACATAGATTGATGGTGGCAGGAGACAAAGCCTGGGAAATTGCCAGGAGCCAATTCACAGCGGGCCCTCTCTGAAAGCCCAAGGAATTAGGTTTCATTCTAGAGGCAGTATTCTCCACCCTCACCCCTCCAGCCCTCCACGTAGCATAGCCTGTGAAGGGCATTCTGTATTGTTTGGAGGTTTAGAGGAGAGTGAGAGGGTCTGAGAAGAGGCCCCAATCTATAGCATCTTCAGGCGATGAGCAGGCTTTGCAGCTGGGGTCAGTTGGAGCCAGGGTGATCAGATCAATGATAGGCACATCCTGCCCATCCTTGGCCACTGTGGCATCAGGAGGAATCTTCTTTACCTAGAACAAGTTGTTTGAGAGCATCCAGGAAGGCAAGTATGAGTTTCCTGACAAGGACTGGGCTCACATCTCCAATGAAGCCAAAGACCTCATCTCCAAGCTCCTGGTTCGAGATGCAAAGCAGAGACTCAGTGCCGCCCAAGTTCTTCAGCACCCGTGGGTGCAGGGGGTGAGTGACTCCAGGGAGCGATGGCATGCATCTCTACAGGTCTGCAGTGTGGTAGAGTGTTTGCTGTCATTCCAGCAAAGGCCAACCACCAGCCTGGGTGGGTACCCACAGCTGAAGGAAGGTGAGCCAGCAGCTTCAGTCACTACATGCAGAGTGAGCCGGCTCTTCTCTCAGCCCCAGCTGACCCCTTCATGCCATAGACTTGTCCCTAACCTTGGCCGCAGACCAAACTATGACTGACCCCTCTGGGGAATTTGGCACATGTCTCCAAAGGTTCTCACCCCAGGAGGCAGCCTGGTATTGTCAGTTAGGACCTGCATATTCTTATACAAAACCATGATTTGGTAAGAGCACCCAGAAGCAAGCAAGGCCTTGCTGTCCTGCAGCTTGTTTGGCTGCACTGGGGCATAAGGTTTTCCTTGTGGCCTGGGGGGTCTGGGTGCCAGGGCCTGCTAGGCAAGTGATGGTGTTGTCCCTAAGCTCAGAATCCAAGTCTTCACTAGAAAACATTTTTTAAACATCCTCCTTGGTTAGTCATGATACCAGACCTCTGCCCCTCCAAGGGGTCTGTGTGTCCTTAGTTTGCCAAGCCCGAGCCAGCCTCAAGTCACCCTGCCAGTGGAAAGTAAGCAAGCATTGCTAGCCTGTGTCACAAATGAGGACCTGATCTCAAAATGGCTCATTGGTTAATTCTCAGCCACCCCAGATTGAGCACCCACTCCATGCCAGAGCTGAGCAGCAGAGATAAGGAGAACCTAGGCCTGTCCTCAGACTCTAATGAAGAGAGGTAGACATTGCAGGACAGCATAATGGATGCTTGTAGAAAGTACTAGGGGCACAAAGGGGCAAGGGCCCACCTCTGCTTGGGACAAGGTTGGGGAAGTGGCAGAGAAGGGGACTGCTTCCTAGGGGAAGTGACCCTTGAACTGGGTTTTGGCAATCAGGACTTTGCCAGGCAGGGAGAAAAAGGTATACATTCAGAAGCCACTGTGATTTCAGAATGTACCTTTCTTGATTTGTTCTTGGAAGGTCTGATCCTGCAGACAAACATAGCCAAGTCCCCTGTGCTGGGCCATATGCCTATAGTAACCTGTCCCCTCTGGGCTAGCCTGGGTGGGGGCAGCTCTTGGAAGGAGGGAGCAGTGCTTACCCACAATCTGTCCTTCCCATTCTAGCAAGCTCCAGAAAGGGGACTCCCCACGCCGCAAGTCCTCCAGAGGTAAATGTTCCAACCACACCCAGTGCTGTCTCCTTGGCTTTGACTTTCTCTCAGGCCCTCAGCCACATTGGGGTGGAGGTGGGAGATGGGGAGCCCATCTTCAGTCCCAAGTACCCTTCTCCAGAGGGGTTTACTGGCCCCTTCTCCTCAATCCCTACTTCACTCTCTTCCATCCAGGTAGAACTATCTCTGTCTTCCCTTCCTCCACCTAGATTGCTTCCTCTGCCCCCCAGCACCTTTAAGGCCCCTCCTTGCAGTGTTTTCAAGGAAAACACCTGTTTTCCATACCCACTGAAGTCTAACTGCCAGTCATCATTTACAAGCTAAGGACAGACCTTATCTGCGAGTCATTCAAACTGGGGTGTCCTTCTGCTTTTAAAGTTGGTGAAAGTAGTGGGAGTTAGGGGCACTATAAGGCAGAGTTGACACATACACTAGTAGACAGAAAGTAATGATGATGATCCTCGTGTCTTAAATACTGAGCATACATCAGATGTGGTGCTAAGGGCTTTTAAAATACAGTAGTGTTGTTCAGTGACAGGGATAAACCTTTAAAAATGTATCAATAGATATATGATTTCCTTGGGCTGGAGGTGCAGCTCGTGGTAGATCATGTGCTTAGCCTGCATAAGGCCCTGAGTTCAATCCCCAGCACCAAAAAAAGGGGAGAAAAAGAAATGCAATTTTATCATTTGTGAACATCATAGAGTACTTACACAAACTTAGACAGTTGTGGTGACACTAGATGATATCATCAATGGGACCACCATCATTTATGTTGTGTGTCCTTGACTGAAATGTTATGCACATCACTGTATTAATATCCATAATCTTCACAAGTTTAAAGTAAGCCTTTCCTATCCCCATTTTGTAGGTGAGAAAATTGAGGAACAGAGAGATCAAGTTAACTTGCTCAAGGCCACACAGTAGTAGTATATTTGGCTACAGAGCCTTTCAACAGCTAGAGATGTTCCCAGCAAGCTCTACTCTATAGGGCTGGAGCAAAGTTGGATGGGAAACCCTTGGGGACCCAGCCTCATGAGCAGCTTTTAGGAATTACACAGGAAGATTTCATGCTGCCAGTCTCAATTCATTTACCTCAGCCGCTGCTGCCCAGGTGGGGTTCCCATCTGATTCTGTGCAGCTACTCCAGATGCCTCAGATCACCCTTAGATGATTTATTTGGCAAAGTCAAAGTGCCTGTCATATGCTGACCCTAAGCTGGTTCTAGGGACAGAGACATAAATAGCACAGCCTCTGTTCCAGTGCTCCCTGCCCTGCCTCAGGAAGACCTGTGTGCAGAGTGGTAGAACCCAGAGAAGGGGTCTGCCCAGCACAGGGACTGTACTTGAGCTCAAAGGCCATTCTAGTCTCATTCAAGCAAGATTCTAAAACCCAGGCTTTAGAGAGCAGCTTGTGGTTCAGGAAAATAAGTCTCCCGGGAGTATAGAACCTTGCAGTGAATGGGCACATCCCCGGCATTGAAGTGGCTGACCCTGGGTTCTGCCTCTCTCTTGTGCCTTTCTTGGCCTCTGAAGGAACAGCAGCACCATGGACCTGACACTCTTTGCAGCTGAGGCCATTGCCCTTAACCGCCAGCTGTCTCAGCACGAGGAAAATGAACTGGCTGAGGAGAGGGAGGCCCTAGCTGAAGGCCTCTGCTCCATGAAGCTCTCCCCTCCATCCAAGTCTCGCCTGGCCCGCCGGCGGGCCCTGGCCCAGGCAGGCCGCAGTGGAGAAACAGAAGTGTGCCCAACAGCCACCGAACTGAACCACGCCAGTCACACCTCATAGGCCTAGGTCTGTCCAGACATTGCCCCCCTGGAAACCTGTGAGGCCAGAGTCTGCAGAGAAGGCAGAGGGGGCCTGCTCTACATCTCCAATCAGACTTCTTCCAGCCACAAAGGCCCTGGGGTTCCCACCCAACCCCCATTTCCCCAGGGTCCTTGGAGGAAAAAGCTTTTTCTGAAGAGGTTGTCTTTGAAAAGGAAAGCAATCACTTGTCACTTTGCATAATCGCCTGCAGCAGAGACATCTCTTTGCTGGGCTCCACCTGCTCACATGCCTGCAGATCCTGGATCCAGCCTGCTCTGGAGCTGAGGCTGCTGTGGCTGGGGCTGCAGCCTTCAGGGAGCCAGCTTCAAGAAGCTGACAGAGGCTACCCACATATATGCCTCTTCCCTCTCTGCACTGTCACCCTCCTCTGGCGGTCCTTTCACCTTCCTCTGTCCTCTGGATGTCCTCTTTGCCTGTCCTCTCCCTTGACTGAGCAAAGCCTTCCCCTCAATTCAGGAAGGGCAAGGAGCCCTCCTTCTTCAGGAAGCCAGATCAGTCTTCCAGTCTGTAACACGGAGAAGCACTTAATCTTTCTTTGCCATGACCAAAATGTGTTCCTCATTTATCATCCTCTTCCTTGTTTGTGATTGCTGCTAAAGTCAGTATTATTTCATTTAAAAAAAAAAGTTCTTTTAACCATCTTCTTCCAGCAAACATGGAATTTTAAACTCTCCCATAAGCCTATGGACTTTCCAGAGGGGAATCTCCATATACTTGGATTTTAATCAGCTATTTGCTACAGTCCTAATTGGTTTGAAGCTGTTACTATGATGAACACCTTAGAGACAGCGTCAGCGTCTGCTGCTGCTGTCCCCCAGGTATTGTATGAGAGTGGCACAGATCCAGGGCAGTTAGATGGAGCGCTGTGCCTGGGGTGAAACCAAATGGGAGGCAGCCCCACTGCCCTGGTCTGAAGGATGTGGTGCTTGCTGCCTGAGAGCATGAAAGTTGAGCCATTGTCAGATAAGCTGTTGAGTTACCTAGTGGAATAGATTTGTATATGTCAGACAGATGCTTATACAACACAACCACTATGATGCTATCATACATTGTGCTTATTTAAATAAAACTATTTTAAATTATAGCTGTGTTGTACTTAGTGGACCTTTCTTTATCTTCAGACCTAAGGGGGAAACAGAGCTCCAGGAATGAGCCTGAGCCCAGCCAAGTAGGGAGAAGAAGCCCTTGTGAGGACCTCCAAATACAACACCACATTTGATGCATAAAGCAAGATGGAGACATAGCTTTTCTGGTTTTCGATGAGGACATGAAATTCTTCAAACATATATCAATTACTTCTTCTGCCAGGACCCAGTGATGAGTAAGAAATAGCCTCAGCTTTTTATGGGCTGCCCATGAAGAGACTGAGGTGGTGTCAGTCACATAAGCAAACTTCAAAAGGCATTTTAGTAAATGTCCCTGTACCCACCCCAGGCAGGAACACATTTCCCCTCTGTCTATAGCATTACTCAGCCTTTATTGAAGAGCTCTTAAAGCATCCAGGATTACCCTTGTCTTGCCAGAGTTGGCAACCAAGAAAAGTGATACCTCTCCTGCCCATAGCCTCTTTGTACAGCATGCAGAGGACTTCCATTTACACTGTCCTGTGTAATAATCCCAGAGCTAGACTGGAGAAGGCTGGAGCAAGAAGGACCTGCATAAATCCCCAAGGAGGTGGCAAGAAGGTAGGGCTGAGCAGAAGTAGGGGCTCTTTGCTCTAGGCTCAGGCCATGGCCAGGCTACCAGCTGTCCCACACTGAATGCCTACATATGCTTGATGACCTCACACCCTCATCCCTTCTTCATCTACCTGAAGTGAGGGCAGCTAGGAAAGCAGACCTGCAGAATCTTGAGTCTTTTGACCTAAAGAGTCCCATCCCCTGGGAACCCAGAACCCAGACCAGTTCCAGCCTGGTCAGGCCTTCTCCAGGTTAGGCACAATAGTAATGTGACATTCAGGGCTTCAGGATCAAGCACTCTCCACCATGTCCCTACCCTATCTTGCTGAAGCCATTCCTCACGTTCCCACAACCATGCTCTCACGTGCTGTGCCCTCACTCACCTCTCCACCCTAACCCACATGGCAAGGCCCTATCCCTTGCACAGCTCTGCTTGCTGAAATGCTACTCGTGCCCACTTTGGTTTTGCTAGCATTTTTGTGCACTTATTGAGTAACAAATGCATTTTTTTTTTTTTTGTGGTGGTGGTGGTACAGAGGTTTGGCAGTATGGGGCCTTGAGCTTGCTCTAACACTTGAGCTATCCCTCCAGCCCAAGTAACAGGTTTATTCTAAGAAGTTTACTGGTATTAATTTTCACAACAATCCTATGAGGTAGGTACTTTTATTTTATCCTCCTTAACATGAAAAAAAAAAAAAAGCAAAGAAAGGAAACATAATTTGACTACAGATGTGTAGCTAGGAATGAATGGTGGAACTGAAATTCCTTCCAGAGATGTTTAGGACCCAGAGCCTTGCTGCCCCAGTTCAAATTGCAGCTCAGCTGCTTACTGGCTTTGGGCAAGATAGTTCATCTCTGAGACTCACAGATTCTTCAGCTATAATTGAGGATGATGGTGCTTAGCTCATGGTGCTGCTGTGAAAGTTACAAAGTAGTAAGTGAGAAGTGTTGAGTGTGGTTCAGGTACACATAGGAGGTGCTCCATAAATGTTAGCCATGATGGTTTCAGTTCCATCTGTTGTCTCCTGGGGCATAATTATTCAAACCACAGTTCCAGTGGTGGAGATGAGCTTCCCCCTTCCTTTGGCTCAGGAAGTCCTCTGCCCAAAGGAGCCGCCATTGTTCTAGGGGAAGAGCCTATGGTAAAGAGCCAGAGACCCTGGGTTCTACTTCCGCCTTGGCTGCTATTCCCAGGGACATCTGGGAAGTCCTGGCTCTATTGGGCAGAGACAGTTATGGCAGATACTCTCAGGGAAGCTCTGGGATGGTAGACCCCTATCCAGGCATAGAACTTGCGATAGTAGAAGGCAGTCCCCCAACTCCAGGACTCACACTGGGCTGTGCCTTAGAAGAAGAATGCTGATCCCAGCCATCTGGAGTGTCTCAGACATCAGGCCTCATTCCTCAAATCCAGCTAGCAAGCCTTGGCCCCAGTCCCAGTACTGGTTCAATCAGACCCTGAGCACTCCTGTCTGAGGACTCTGGCCACAGGGTCTTCATGCCTCTGTGTGTCTGCCTGCCTGAGTTCTGGGGGCCTCCTCTCCATCCTGGCCCACTGCCCTTCACCAGACCCATTTCTACAAACAGCAATGCCTTGGTCCCATGCCAACTGCTCCAACTGCTTCCAGTCTAGAGGGGGCCTAGGAGCAAGGTCCCCCCAAGGCTGGCATTCTGTTGCCATGGTAGCAGTTGCCTTGGAAGCCACTTCACTGATTTCAGCAACTGAACCGTCCAAGAAAGCTGCCTGTCCCCCGGGGAAAACGGTTGAATTAATCACGCTCTGTTCCAGGGTTCTTACCCCTCAAGGAAAATAAACAGAACCAAACCAAGCTGGGACCCAGTTTCCCACTTCTCTTCCCCACCCTCACTCCACACTTGGATTTGGCACTTGTGAGAAGGAAAGAAGAAAAGAGCATAGACAGATACCCTCCAGCCCTTGCCTCACCAGGAGACAGAGGAGAGATTGTGGTGAAACCTAGCATGTGCCCATTACTTATCTGCACCCTGAGTCCTATAGCATCAGGAGGACCAAAGCTCCCTCGAGGCAGACTCTTGTGCTTGGGAGGGTGGGAACCCATGGGGCTTGGGCTCCAGGACCTTTGGCCACCTTCTTGGCACTACCAGCAGACAGAGCTCCCTTGAACTTAACTATTACCACAATATCTCCCTCTGATGGTGGATGCTATGATTTAGATATGGTTTAAGTGTATCCCCAAGGGTTCATGTGTTGGAACATTGGTCCTCAAAGTGACCTTGTTGGGAAGTGATGGGACCTTTAAGAGGTGGGGCTTCATGCATGATAATTAGGACATTGCCCTTGGAAGGGATTGGTGCAGGTTTCCTGGAGTGAATTAGTTCTTGTGAAAGATGGTTGTTACATAAAAGCCAGATTGGTTTCTCCACATTCTCTTGCATTCTCTTTCACCATGCAATCTCTTGTTCTCACACATACTCTGCCCTTATGGTGACATCCACCATAATACCATCCCCATGAGGCCTTCACCAGAGATCAATGGGTAAAGCCACCTACTCTTGGACTTTCAGCCCCCAAACTGTGAGGTAGAGAAACACCTTTTCTTTATAAAGTATCTCAGCCTCAGATATTTTGTTATAGCATCAGAAAATGAACTAATAGAGTAAGGTTGCCAATTCCTCCCACCTCAGATTAGACAATGTAGAAATTCACGAGACAGACATGTTAGAGGACTTCCCAGCTGAGCAGGAAACTGGTGCAGAGGTTCTATTAAGGCAACACCTCTGCCTCTCCATGTCCTGGTTTCCTTATCTGTTCCATGACAGAGCTGGGACAGCTTTGTATTTTGGTGATCATGTAACTGATAAAGGCTTCATGTGTTTCTTCTCCACATTCCCTCCCTTGACTCTTTCTGTGCCTGACGGATTTACAATGTCAAAGAAAAACCCTAAATTTGAATTTGGTCTCCAGTGTTTTGGAGGTCAGAGTATCCTGGACTCTGAAATTCCCAGTGCATAGGTATCCCTGCCTTCAGCCTCTACACCCCAGCTGTACTCACTACTGGCCCAGGTGCCCCCTGCACCCTGAGAAGCATGCCCCCTGGAGGTTCTGTCTTGCTGACAGTGTGTGGGAGGGCTGCCCTCAGACTCCTCTTGGACCACAAGAGGAGTCAGCACAGGCCCTGCCTGGCCCCAAGTGATGTAAACACTTAAGGGAGAGTGGCAGGGCATTGTTGGGAGTGTTCAGAGCTCCGAAATGTGACCTCTCAAGAACATGTTTCCATGGATGCTTACTCTGGGAACTCCTCGTAAAAATAGTCAGTGGAGGATGGGTTACATATGATAGAAATACAGACTAAAATTGATGCCTGATTAGAGGAAAAAATCAGACCTCACCCTGGCAGGAGACATAGGGGATGATTGTGAGTCTGCTGTGGCTGTGGGATGCTTGGCTCTAGCAGCTTCCTCTTTATGGGAGCCTGAGCCCATTCATGCTGTATGGTCACCCTCCCCTCTGCCTTCCTGACAGTGCCTTTCCACAGCTCAAGCTCCCCTCAGGTAACCCTGAGGTCTTCTAGGACCCGCCCCACACCAAGGGAAGATCGTTAGTAGAGATAAAGGCTCCCTCACGTCCACAGCTTTCCTCTTTGCCGACTTGAGGTGGTCATGTAGTTCCTAGCCCTCTTCAGGAACTCTGTCCTATGTCCGAAATCTTGCCCAGATTCCTCTGCCATGGCATTCTGTGGTGTCACTCTTTGAGCCTACCCTCAAGGTCCACCATCTATAGAAGAGGCAGAGAGAACAAGAATGGAGAGTGGACCTTCAGGTAGGGCCAAGGTAGGGCCACCAGTGCAGGCCATGGTCAGGAAGGCTGCATAAGAGGCCAGTGCTAGCCACCAAAACCTGCTGGACAAAAGGGTTTTCCAGACAGCAGGGTCCAGGCAGGCACTCAGAGCTTCAAGACAGGGTGAGATAGGGAGGAAAGAGCAGGCGAGGCAAGCTATTGAGTGGCACATGAAAAGGGGGGCCCCTGGGGGCGGGGGCTTTGTGGGGGGAAAATTGCAGATGTAGTGGGCAACAGAGAGAGCAGCAAAAAAAGAGGCCTTAGTGGGCTGTACAGGATTACGGATAGAGGCAAGGGTAGAATGGGGAACCCTGGTGAAACACTCTGTCAAGCCACCTCACTATTGTTACACGCTATGGGTGAGCCAGAGACCATCTATACCTTGTGCCATGGACCCTCGACGCTCGATACTTCACCGAGTACCTCTGCTCAATAACCCTCGGAACTCTTCAGAGGAATGACGAGTTACTCATAAGCTCGAAAAGTCTCTGTGACTTCTGATGAGTGGGTCTAGAGTGCCGATTAGGGGAGACGCCACGATTGTTCTTTTCAG